GTCATGAATCAAAATTGACAGGGAAGGAGATGTTATAAAAATATGAAGATTTTCAGAAACACTTAAATATCACTTCTTTTTTGTGCAGAATGCTGTGGAGATCTCAAGAGTCTCATTAGTGAGTTTTAGTAATAGAAACATTCCTGGTCAGGGATAGGGACACCACACCCTGAAAGGGAGGCTTAGTGCCCATTTGCCCCTCTTGGGTTTATCTTTCCCCATGGACCAATAGCAATCACCACACCTTCACTATCATCTACTATGCTCTGAATGTATAGTGAAATAATGGATGAATTACTCGGATGAGCTCATTCTAGTTATGCTAGTCAGGAGTATGGTGACGGACGCTTTTCTCTGTCTCCATAATGGGGTTTATTGATAAATGCTTATTTTTTATTTAGTTCTAAAGAAAAAAAGAACAAGAATGCCATTAAGAAAATACCTAGTAGAAAGCATTGATGAAGATCTGGTAATATTTCAGGAAGGAGAAAACAAAAAAAAAAGGTGGTAGTGGAGGTGGTTGTTTACCTTCAATGTGTTAGAATTGACTCATAGCTGACCCTCTAGAGGGTTTTCAGAGGCTGTAAATTGCATAGCAGGAGTTTGTCCATCTTTCTTCTATAGAACTAATGTTGAAACTGCTTTGGAGTTGGCAATGCAACTCCATACCCCTAGGCCACCAGAGAAAAACCCTATGTCAGAATTTATTTTACAAGGTTGTAGATCTATCCATCATAACGTAACTGTGGTGAAATGTCCAGAAGACACTTGATATCATTTTGTCATGTTTCAGCTACTGCAGTTCAGGTTCCATAGCTTTCCTTATTCTCACAGTTATCTACCCTAGTTTATATTTTTTATGTTATTGCTTAGAAAAGAGACAAATTATTAACTATTATAGTGTGTATACACAATTTTGCTTTATAAATTAATTTGATTAGGATTACTAAGGTTTTCACTTCTCCTTAGCTGTGTATAATGGAGAACATAAACATGCTCTGGTGGTCTATGGCAAGAAGCTGCACTGCAATCCTGAAGGCACACAGTTCTAGCCCGAGCTGCTCCGTGGGAGAATCTTCTCCCGGATGATTAATTGTCTCTGAAAATCCACTGGAGGGTCAGCTATGGGTCAGTTCTGACTCGGTACACAACAACTACAACAGAGTTTAAATTTTTACTCACACAACATCATTCATTAAATATTTGTGAACTGAATTTCTACCTACTTAGGCTTATTGGAAAACAGTTGTACTGTTTTTTAATAAAGTATTATATTGTCACTGATTATTTTTTCAGAAGAAATTTTTTCACTTCTTTAAGTTTTTTGTTCTCATTTTAGCAGAAATAAAGAAATTGTCAATATCTTCATAGTTTTTCAGAGTAAATAAAATATTTGTGAAGTATGAAGTATTCTATTAATATATTTCCTAGTGGTAAAAAGATATGCTGCAATTTCAAGGTATTTGGTTCAAATCCACCAATCCTATTCTGTAGGAGAAGAAGGATAGACAGTCTCTTCCCATGTGATTTACTGTCTCTGAAAACCCACTGGAGGTTTAGCTATGAGTTCGTTGAAACTTGTTGGACATACAGCATTAACAATAATTATTTTTAGGGAGATTCATGGTGACTTGGTGATAAGGAATTTCATTGCAAGGTATGTGGTTCAAATCCACTAGCTTCTTTAAAGCAGAAACATGGGCAGGTTCCTGTGTGATTTACTGTGTCAGCAGTTACAGGAGGGTCATTTACAGGTCGGTTCTGGCTCCTTGGTACAGAACAATAACACTACTATTTGAAAATCAGTGTTGATACATATAACACCTGTGCCGGTCCCAGTGTCAATGTCAATTGCTGTCAAGTCAATCCCACATATGTCAGAGTAAAATTGGGATCAATAGAATTTTCAATGACTATCTGTTTGGAACTGGAACATGAAGTCTTTCTTCTAAAGTAATTCAGTGTGGACTTGAACTTTAAGCCTTTTTGGTTAACAGCTGAGGACATTAACTTGGTATCACCCAGGGTCTCATAACATCATTATGCTTTATTACTGTTATTAGTTATTGCATGAATATTTTTCTCTGTTATTTCTACTTAGAACATTATGATAATTCACTTCTGAGGAATTTGTTTACATAAAGATATTTGAAGCCAAAACAGATTAGGAAAGGTACATGCCTTAAAAGTGGCATCAAGTTGTAATCTTTTTTAAAAAGTTTGTTTTATTAATTTTAATGAACATTTACAGAGATTTTGGATTTCCATTCATTCATTGTTGCATTTTTCTCTCTGCCCACCCCCTCACCCCCAGCTCGCTTCTCTCTTTGAAAAGCAAAAGAAAAACTCCTTCATTGGTATACAATCCCCCCTCCCCAAGTGTTCTCCGCTATGCAACCTTAATTCTACACTCTTGTGATAACCATAATACCCTATCATATATCACTTTTAAACTGGTTTCTCCCTCATCTGTTTCAAGGCAGTATACATAATTTATCCAGTTTTCCTCAGTCTTACCCCAACCCTAATGTCAGTCCCATTCTACTACAGTGGCACTATGCAGTATTTGTCTTTTTGTGACTGAGATATTTTACTCAGCATAATGTCCTCCAGGATCACCCATTTTTAATAATATTGCATGAGTTCCTTGTTTTTCAGTGCAGTGTAGTATTCCATTGTGTG